AGGATCAGGAGGTAGAACACCGGTGGTTGCAGCGGGGCTCGGATGAGGGGGAGGTGTGACCCGAGAGGGGCCGTACTACTTAGGCACGTCTGTACTGCAGGGTTGGGTGGTTTGGCAGAGATAGAGGGCGGGAACTTTGCCTTCTGGTGGTTCTCTTGAGATCTAGAAGACCAGCCGTTCCGGTCTAGTAACGGTAAGGGGAGGCGCCACGCGGGCTTCTTTCCTTCCCCTGTGGACTTCTGGTGGACCAAGGAGCCGTGTCCCATGACACAGTCCTCCCGTATCTCCCCTGGAACAGCCCAGGGAAGGAGAGGTGGAGGAGGTCAGGAGTCTTGAGGTGGATGCGAGGCGTCTTGTGGTTTTTAGCTCTCTTGCCTGTCCTTTTTGGAGGCCGATGATTGGATTGTGTGCAGTTTTCAGGAGACCTCCCCTGTCCGAGACACCCCGGCCGTTCTCCTTGGTCTCTTCGTTTTGGGGGTGGACTGGAGACTTCGGTGAGCCCTTGCCTCAGCTCAGGAAGGAGTTCAGGCGGGACTTGAGAGCCAGTCCTGCTTGTACTGCCGCGCCATCCCAGGACTGAGGCGCGGCGGAGCGGCTGCGATGCGTACTTTTTGACGGCCTGAATCGGGTCGGGAGTACACATGACTAGCCGAGTTTTGCTGTGTGCTCCCGACCCTTGCGCTGTGTTTCGGCTCTGCCTCCGGCTCTAGCGGTCCACAGTCTAATAAAAGACATACATACATACCCTAGGGAAAGGGGGCCGCTGGCGAAGTTAACCACCCTGTAACAACATACATACATATGTACATACATGCATTGTACGTACGTATGTACATATACGTCCTTACGTACACACAGATTACTATGTAGATACGTAGTATACATACGCATTGGAATGCACCCAGCGACAAACCCTAGTGCCAGCCACCTGATGCCACCTGGAGCATGCGGATCCCCAGGAGCATGGTGCATGCAGACATCACCCAGCGGGCCTCCTCGAAACCCAGGAGCTTGCATGCAGCGCAGCAGGCGGGAGGGGAAGGTAAGGGGCATACGGCATTAATGGTGATGGCGGTGATGGCAGCATAGCTAGCGTGCCTTATTATAGCAAGCTATCTATACCTCTAATCAGCGGTTGGCTATTGGTCCAAGCGGCATAAATCGCACCAGGCGCCGTCGTACGCCGGACCAGCGATGCATCATAACATTAACTAGATGTTAGAAAGGCGGCAGGAATAGGAGCATCCATACGCGCACGCAATTAGAACCCCGCCGTGAGATGCGTCGGTGGCTGTGAGGCAGGTGGGACATGCCTGTGAGGCTGAAAGGGCTTCCGGACGCATAAATCGCATTAGGCGCCGTCGTACGCCGGACCAGCGATGCATCATAACATTAACTAGTTGCTAGAAAGGCGGCAGGAATAGGAGCATCCATACTCGCACGCAATTAGAACCCCGCCGTGAGATGCGTCGGTGGCTGTGAGGCAGGTGGGGACATGCCTGGGAGGCTAAAAGGGCTTCCGGTTGCATAAATCGCACCAGGCGCCGTCGTACGCCGGACCAGCGATGCATCATAACATTAACTAGATGTTAGAAAGGCGGCAGGAATAGGAGCATCCATACGCGCACGCAATTAGAACCCCGCCGTGAGATGCGTCGGTGGCTGTGAGGCAGGTGGGGACATTCCTGGAGGCTGAAAGGGCTTCCGGACGCATAAATCGCATTAGGCGCCGTCGTACGCCGGACCAACGATACATCATAACATTTCTAGTTGTTAGAAAGGGGGCAGGAATAGGAGCATCCATACGCGCACGCAATTAGAACCCCGCCGTGAGATGCGTCGGTGGCTGTGAGGCAGGTGGGGACATTCCTGGAGGCTGAAAGGGCTTCCGGACGCATAAATCGCATTAGGCGCCGTCGTACGCCGGACCAACGATACATCATAACATTTCTAGTTGTTAGAAAGGGGGCAGGAATAGGAGCATCCATACGCGCACGCAATTAGAACCCCGCCGTGAGATGCGTCGGCGGCTGTGAGGTAGGTGGGGACATGCCTGGAGGCTGAAAGGGCTTCCGGACGCATAAATCGCACCAGGCGCCGTCGTACGCCGGACCAACGATGCATCATAACATTATCTAGTTGTTAGAAAGGCGGCGGGGAAAGGAGCATCCATACGCGCACGCAATTAGACCCCCGCCGTGAGATGCGTCGGTGGCTGTGAGGCAGGTGGGACATGCCTGGGAGGCTGAAAGGGCTTCCGGACGCATAAATCGCACCAGGCGCCGTCGTACGCCGGACCAACGATACATCATAACATTAACTAGTTGTTAGAAAGGCGGCAGGAATAGGAGCATCCATACGCGCACGCAATTAGAACCCCGCCGTGAGATGCGTCGGCGGCTGTGAGGCAGGTGGGGACATGCCTGGGAGGCTGAAAGGGCTTCCGGACGCATAAATCGCATTAGGCGCCGTCGTACGCCGGACCAACGATACATCATAACATTTCTAGTTGTTAGAAAGGGGGCAGGAATAGGAGCATCCATACGCGCACGCAATTAGAACCCCGCCGTGAGATGCGTCGGCGGCTGTGAGGCAGGTGGGGACATTCCTGGAGGCTGAAAGGGCTTCCGGACGCATAAATCGCATTAGGCGCCGTCGTACGCCGGACCAACGATACATCATAACATTTCTAGTTGTTAGAAAGGGGGCAGGAATAGGAGCATCCATACGCGCACGCAATTAGAACCCCGCCGTGAGATGCGTCGGCGGCTGTGAGGTAGGTGGGGACATGCCTGGAGGCTGAAAGGGCTTCCGGACGCATTAATCCACCAGGCGCCGTCGTACGCCGGACCAACGATGCATCATAACATCAACTAGTTGCCATAAAAGCGGCGGGGAACGCGTGTTCATCAGTCATGCTCGCTAGCCAACCATCATGGGGAAGGGATGTAAGACCGTCATCCTCTGGGATGGGTCGAACTACTCCCACTGGCTCGGCGAGTTAGGCGATTTCCTCGCAACGTCCAAGTTGAAGTGCTACATCAACAACCCGTCGCCTCCGAGCCGCAACACCCAAGACGCCCTGGAGGAGGACGCACAGGCGCTCAGCTACCTGCGTCTGTCCTGTGAACTGCCCATCAAGCAGTTGCTCATGAATTGCCCAACCGGTCTCGCCGCCATGCAGCTCTTACAGCAACAGTTCCGTTCTGCATCCCAGGCCCGGCTGAGCCTGGTTGAGCCGCAGATGCAGCTGAACATGCGC